ATAAATAAAAATAAATAAAAATAAATAAAAATAAATAAAAATAAATAAAAATAAATAAAAATAAATAAAAATAAATAAAAATAAATAAAAATAAATAAAAATAAATAAAAATAAATAAAAATAAATAAAAATAAATAAAAATAAATAAAAATAAATAAAAATAAATAAAAATAAATAAAAATAAATAAAAATAAATAAAAATAAATAAAAATAAATAAAAATAAATAAATAAAATAAGTACTTCGTGCAATCTGGTGATATTAGCAGATGAGAGCCGTACCAGAAATGTGGTATAAAATGAGATTATCAATTAGATTAATATATTTAAATATTTGAATAGTCTAATTAACATTAATCTATAAAACTATCATCAACATACCGTGAACAGTAAAACAACATATTATAGCGTCTTTTTTTAGGAAGTCATGCATTTTTTTTATACTATAAACACGACTTCACGCGTGCGAATGCCCTATTATTAATTTTAGGAAAAAAGTTATTCTTCATAAAAAGTTCTACATTATCTAAAACCTAAAATACAGTCATCAAATATTAACTTTTTTCAGTGGTATACGAGGTTTGCCAAAAAATATGAGTTTTACTCAAGAGTAAAGTACTTTTATTCTTTATACAACTGATAAAATTTGATATTTGATGGTTGTATTTTAGGTTTTAGACTATGTTCGACTTTTTTTAAAGAACAACTTTTTTTCCTAAAATTAGTAATAAAAAAGCTTTCCTATGCCACCAACTGTCTACGTAAATTGGCGGCATATGAAAATCTTTTTTATTATTAATATTGGGAAAAAAGTTATTCTTTATAAAAAGTCGAGCATGGTCTAAAACCTAAAATTAGAGTTACAAAATCCAAAAGTCGATATACTGCGGACATATAAAAGTCTTGAGTACTACACATGCTAATTTTGTTACAGGAAACATTTTTGAAAGGTTTGTTTTATAAATATTTAATTAGTTTAAATGCATTTTTGTCAGAGCATTTCCATGTTAAAATAGACAAATTAATGATGCGGCATTAATTTTTGTAATAAAAAATTTAAAAAATAAAATATATTGCATTTTATTTCAAGTTTGAAATTAATGAAATATTATAATGAACTAAAATCAAATCAAAATTTTAATTGGCAAAATATTTGAGTAGTTTCAAATCATAAAACAATCATACGATTGTTTTATGATTTGAAACTAGTCAAAATAAACAGATTAATTTTTTTGTTTGATTGTCATCATTACATTTTTGCCCACTCCAATTTGATAGATAGCAGCACATCCCCTCAGAATTTTACTATTGAGTTTCCCATCTATTCACACTCCTCTGACTCCCCTAATGTATATCCATGATTCGAAAAATTTCAGAGGTATGATAGCAAATGAAATCACGTCGAGTTCGCGCATGACGTATTGTGGTGTGAAATCTGATTGAGCAAGAGTTATTTAAAACAATCATAAATAATATGTGTTATGAATTGACTAATGACATCAAAATATTCATAAGTTTCTGGTTCAGATGTTAAGTGCGGATTACCTACGATGTTGTTCAACAGAGGATCGAAAACAACATATCTCCGAAGAAACGACCTGCAAAATACATGCAAGTTGATAGGCGCATAAATAGGATTGTTGTAGAATTGTCTATTAATAACAATATAGGGGCAGCACTCCATATGCTGTCAAATATAATTACCATTTGAGATAACCACATAACCAAAAGTCTGGAACAGTTAAATTGCGAGACCTTGGCGGATATGCAATATGGGCGTTTTTCGAGATAAGGCGTCCAGAAAAAATTCTGATAATCGACGAATTATTTTGATAAAATAATTTTACGATTTCGACACGTTCTCGAGGCGTATATCGATTCATAATGAATTTCCCAAGTATCTACTTTGCCATTGACAGAAAAACTGGAACAGAAGTCAACTACAAATAAAACCATGACAATATTACATAGAGTACTTAATTTTGCGTCACCTTGTAAATAGAAAATACTAGTATTATTGTGAAAAAAGCATGGCTTCGTCCATATTTCTCGTACATCGAGCGCCCGACGCTTTTTTCACAATAATACTAGTATTTTCCATTTTTTATTGTTTTAAGTTTATTTGAAAAAATATTTTTAACTTTTTAGTTTGATATGCTCTAAAAGCGTGTTTTTTAGTTTTTTTAAATTGTATTTATTGGTTGAAAATGAGGTTGAGTGATTTCCGGTAAGCAGGTACGTAGTAATCCGCACTTAACATCTGAACCAGAATGAATCTTTTGATGTTATTAGTCAATTCATAACACATATTATTTATGATTGTTAATCTTCGTATTTATTAATTTAGTTTTAATTTTATTTTCGAAAATAACCGGGTCAATTGATTTTCTTATTGTTCAATTATAAATTAAATAATATTAATAATTAAATAAAATAAGAATTCAATGTATAATATTACGGGGAGCGTTTAATATAGTTTCCAACTGAAAGCGAAATAAAAATATTCCTTATCAATAATTATTAAAATGTAAATTACTAAAACTAAATCAGTTCTTTTCAGAACTACAACATATTTATTTTGTGATAGAATCTCGTGGTCGGTAGTGGAATATACAAAAAATAAGTAAACCCTGCGCGGGCGGTAGTGGCACCCGCGCAGGTAGTTTTTGGTCGCGGTCGGTAATGGGACAATCTGTACTGGGATATAGCCACTGTACTTAGGTATCCTATTTTAACATTATGTGACTAAATTATGTATGAATTCATGCAAGCCATGTTTATCATATTGTAAAAGACACATAGGGTCATTTGCAGCGACAGTCGTTAAGAAATAATCTAAGCCTAAAATTTTAAGCTTGGCGACACGTCAGATAAACGTACAACAAATAACTGCTTATTGGTATCGATGCGTATTTCTTACGTGTATACTTTTCAAAATCAAGCCACATCTTCTTTAGCTAAATAGTTGCAACTTTGACACCTAGAAATCTTCACAAGTGGATGTTTCCTGAGGCACTGCTGAAAGCTCAAGATCGTGACTCAAAAGAATTAGTAGAGAGGGCCCTTTCGCTACAAACCACACGTAAATTTTACATACGATACCACTCTAGGGTTAAGGTAGGGTGAGTTAATTACATACTAAAAAGTGTATATTCCACTAACTTAACAATTTGAGAGGGGAAGGCAGCAAAGTTGTAAAAAAAAACGTCATCTCGACATTCTCATGCGTAGCTAATTTTTTTTTTTATTTTGAAGGAAATAATTCAAGAATAACGAAAAATATATAATCTGACGATTTCCGCAAGCCAAAATAACAAAAAAATCGTCGATAAAGTTTAATGCGTGCAGCTGCGTGATGCCTATCACTCAGTCCCGGTTTATCCGCTGGTCGCTCAGGGGCCCGGAGGAGTCTGGACCCCATAGTAATTAAAAAAAAAAAAAATAATGAATTAGGTAAAAATTTAAACAATAAGTTCCCCAATATTTTAACTTTACTTCAAATTTAGATACCAATTTATAATGTTTCGAACGAGAGGTCTTTTTCGGCATTAAAAGAATAAAGACAGATTTAAGGTTAAAACGAGGTCAAGAAAACTTAGATATTAACACTAACAATCAATTATAAAAAATTTAATTTTTTTGATCACTTTTTTAAAATTATTTTCTTATAAATACAAGTAGTACTACTTAAAAAATATACACTGTTTTATTTGCATGCTATTTCCTGAGCTTTTAAATTAAGATCAATGATTTAAAAAAATAAAAAAAATTTTTTTTGTCAGATTACGCGAATCCCTCTATATAATCGTCAGATTATGAGACAGCACGTCTAGGACATAAAGATGAACCATATACAGGGTGTTAAAAAAAAAGTGTCACAAAATGAAATGGTGAATAGTATGACCCAAAATAAGCAGAAAAGTCTTAATAAATATATGACCGCAAATTAACGGTTTCGGAGATACGGACCATTTTGTGTTTATAACAATTTTTTATTATTATAAAAAAACAATGATATTTATAAACAATCAATAACAACATAGAGTTAAATGAGATGTTCAAAGTGCCCTCCCTCCATTTCAATGCATTGCCATTTGCACGACCGTACATAAAATGCATGTCAGCTAATTCAATATTAGTGTAAACAGGCATAACGAAAATTTATAAAATTATTCACCCACAACAAAATAATAACTGCAAATAGTATCTATGAAAAAACATCGGTAGACTCTGATAAGAAAAGCAAGTTTTTGAGAATGAAAAAAGATAATCAAAAAATGATACAAAACACTCCATATCTCTGAAACCATTCATTTGCGGACATATATTTATTAAGACTTTTCTGCATATTATGGTCCTTACTACCCCCCGTTTTATTTTGTGACACTTTTTTTTAACACCCTGTATATCTTAATCTGACGCGCTTGATTATTTCAAAATGGCAAATTTTTTTGCACATTTTAATAATGGCCGCGAGTTTGCGTCACATCTAAATCGTCAGATTAATGAATGAGAGCAATTTTTTTGGTTCACTTAACACCCCCTTAGAAAATCTGACGCGCTCGATTAATTTTTTTTTTCATTTTAACCCTTACGTACAACCACCCGCACCATGCAAACGATCAGATTAACATACGTACATTATTAAAAATACGTAGGACATTGATGCTATCAATATCTGACGCGCTCGAGTATGTCCATGCAACAGTATTTTTTTACATATTTAAAAATTTATAGCCGCTTCCCCCACCGATGAAAAGGTATATATTATATGACATTTTTTTCTTCTTATCATCTGTACTTTGGAATCCAATAGGTCTCTATGACGCTCGAGCAAATCCCGATTTAGCATCGTAGGCTCCCCTACTATTGTGCATAATATGCATAAAAAACATGCATATTCAAATTTAATTTAAATGGAAAAATATGCAGTAAACTGATTTTTATCGGCACTCGTTTTGTATAAAAAATAAGTACAGAAACGCATACTTTTAAAACTTACCTTTGAATAATCCTGTAGATAGATTTGGATAGAAGTAAAGTTCATACAAAATTGGTTTCACCATACCAGGCAGCCTGTATTTGTTCATCTCGGTCAAATTCGTTTCTTTCGCAATTAATTCATCAATTTCATTTCTTAATTTTCTATTTTCGATGGCTAGTATAATCGTGGATAAGGCCAAACTGATAATCACTGCAATTAAAACCACCAATAATTTGTGTGTAAAGATCCATACTATTAAATTCATTTTTTTTTGTCAGTTTGAAATAAAATAATTAACACCCGTTAAAACGAACACTTCAACAAAGACAGACTAAAAGTGATTTCCAAATTCTACAGACGTTTATCGACATGCAAAAAATGATATAATTATCGCTCGAATCTCAACAAAAAGGTTTAACTTTTATAATATGTACATTTTATTTACACTACGAGATCCTTTATTGACACCGGAAATTAGATTGATATACATGGTGTCCTTTTAGTGAGTAACGGCTCGATATTTCAATTTATAATAATAATAATAATAATTTATTTTTCACAAAATAATATAAATATAAGAACAGATTTACAATAGTAAATTTAAATAGTTGCGGAAAATAAACTGAGCACCCACTGAAATCTCAAAGAGAGATTTGTGCGTGAGTTTTGCGTTTACTTTAAGGAACTATTTTTAACATTTTTAATATTTTATTGTTAAGCCCTAAGAGAAAACAGAAAAAAGTATATAAGGAAGGTAATATACGTAATCCCTGTTTGTTTAGTGAGTAGGTAATTTTCTTTTTAACATTTTTTTTTTAACAATTTTTTAACAATTTTTTTTTATTTTTTTTAACATTTTTTTTTCATGTGTTTTATTTTTTTTAATTTTAACATTTTTTTAACACGGCATTTAATATCTTTTTTTTACATAGCTCTTTATTATTTTTTTTATTCTTTTTTTATAAATATCTCAGTGCTAGTTAAGAAGGTGAGTAAGACATAAAATAAGGTAATTTAAAATTTTTTTTGATATATATTTTTTAATTTTCAATTATTTTTATAATTTCTGATTTGGGCAGTGTACTCATAAATTTCTTCACTTTATTATTAAAAAGGTGTGTTATATTGTCAGGTAATAACATGTATAGTCGAGATGATATACAGGGTGTCTGTAAAAGGTCTTTACAAAAACATACCACATATTCCTTAGACCAAAGAAAAGGAGTTTGAGTTTGAAATTTAGATTTCGCAACTCATTTACTTTAAAAAAGATACTCTTGATAAGACTCGATTACTCTCATGGTTTTGACGAAATTTGCATTTTAGTAATTTTAGAACATAAACAATAATTATTAAAACACAAACTTTGTCAAAACCATGAGAGTAAATCGAGTGTTATCAAGGGTACTTTTTTGTAGTAAATGAGTACCCAATCCAAATTTCATACTCGAACCCCTTTTTTGCCATTGGCGTAGAATTTTTAAAGGTGCAATTATTTAAAAAATCAAGTTCTACGCCTATGTATTATTATCGGACAAAATTGAATACGATGAAAAATATAAAAATGTACTTTTTTCATATCTTCTTCAACACCTCTAATCGAGACTTTTAATAAAAATACTCGATTCTTGCCATGTACGATTTTTTGAGGAATATTAATTATTTGCCTGCAATACGTATACAAAAACATTCATTGTTGGTTTCCATAGTTTCATCTAAATAAAAATATTATCAAGTTTTAACACCTAATCTCTTGTTAACGATTGAAAGTGTTCTATCTGACTCAATAATTAAAAAACAAATGCGTGGTTTATTAATATGGCTGTACAATATATCAATGCAGAATATACCGATATGTTACTGACATTAGGATTTCGTGAAGGAAATGCTCGAGAGAGTGTTAGGGTGTACTCTGAAAGGTTTCCAAATCATCGTGTACCTAGCCACCCAACTTTTACTGCTGTTGAGAGACCGGGAGACCGGTTCCTTTGCTCCCAACACTGTTGATAATGGAAGAGAATGTTTTGTAAGGATTCCTGAAGTTGAAGAAGACATTTTAGAACGTGTTGAAGAAGATCCAGAATTAAGCACCAGACGAATTGGAAGGGAAATAGGAGTAAGTAAAGATGTCGTTCATAAAGTGCTTAGAGAACAATTGCTATATCCATACCATAAGAAGCCAGTACAAGAATTATTAGTCCATGATCCTCAAATTCGTTTGGGTTTTTGTCGATTTGTTAATATGCAAAGAGAAAGAGATTCATACTTTGTCAAGAAGGTTCTCTTTACCGATGAAGCGGGTTTTACAAGAAGAAGTATAACTAATACCCATAATGGACATGTTTATGCCGTTGAAAATCCGCATGCAATAAAGGTAAACCATTTTCAGCACGAATTCAAAATTAATGTGTGGGCTGGAATAATTGGTAATTTCATTGTTGGTCCTGTCATACTTCCACGAAGATTAACTGGAGAAAATTATTTGGATTTTCTACAAAATATCATTGCCAGAACTTCGGAGAGATATGTGGTTTATGCAAGATGGAGCTCCACCACATTTTTCTTTAAACGTTAGAAACCACTTGAATGAACAATATCCACACAAATGGATAGGCAGAGGTAATGACACACCTGTAAACTGGCCACCACGTTCCCCAGACCCCAGACTGATGGGTTACTTTTTATAGGGACATCTGAAATCCACAGTTTACAGGGAACCTGTAGAAAATGAAGAACAACTCTGGCAACGTATTTAAGATGCAATAAACAATCTTAGAGGTGATGAAGAAGTTATGGAAGATACATTTTAATTTTCTTTGACGTATAAATCTTTATATGCGTGAAAATGGTGAACATTTTGAACAATTTTTGTAAAATCTCTATTTTGATTATGTTGTAAATAAATATTTTTGTGAAACCTATACACTCTAAATTATTAAAACAGAAATTTAGCGAAAAGTATGAGAGTGATCGAGTCTTATCAAGAGTACCTTTTTTAAAGTAAATGAGTTGCGAAATCTAAATTTCATACTCAAACTCCTTTTCTTCCATTGGCGTAGAATTTTTAAAGGTGCAATTATTTAAAAAATCAAGTTCTACGCCTATGTATTATTATCAGATAATATTTTAATACCATTTTTTTTGCCACATAGAACTCTACCAATTTACCAAATTTTAGCAAAATCGCAAATGCCGTTTTAATATTATATGGGAAAAACGATTTAAAAATTGTAACTTCAAGGCCCTCTGGAGCCCAAACGAAGCAACTTTGTACTAAGGTAATTTTACTTAAATCGACTTATTTTGGTCTAAGAAATATGTGGTATGTTTTTGTAAAGACCTTTTACAGACACCCTGTATAACTAAAAGACCGTTGTCCTAGTTTTTTATATGCTTTCATTGTCGCTATAGAGGCTTTGTTTTTATACCGTGTATTATATGAATGTTTTATCATTTGAAACATGTTTTAATTTTTTTGTTGTAAAATGAGCAATCTGTAACATTGCAATTGTCTAATGTCAAAAACAGCTATCTCTGAAATAAGGCCTCAGTTGGGTAAGTTCGTTTTTTATTACTCATTATTTTAAGGAAGGTTTTTTGAATAATTACTAGCCTTTTTAGGTTTGTTTTATATATTCCTCCCCATGCCGTCATTCCATATTGAATAAGCGATTCAACTAAGGAAAAGTAAATCGTTTTGAGATTTTTATAGTTGAGAATACCTGATAATTTTTTAAATTTAAATAAAATATATCGTAATTTTTTTAGTAGTTGTTTGACATGAGTTTTCCAGTTTAAGTTATTATCAATTTTATTGCCCAAATATTTAAACCTATGCTATTTGAAGATTTGGTCCTATATGTAAAGAATTATATTGGGGTCTGTTATTATTTCGACAGGAGAAAGCTATATATTCTGTTTTATCTATATTAATTGTTAGGGACATTTCATCGAACCAAAGTTTAATTTTTTTATATCATTTTCTAAATGAACTCTTAGTTCTTTCCAGGTATTAGCTGTATACTGTATAACTGTATCATCAGCGAAAAATACTTCCAATTGAGTTTATTTGTAATAGACCGTTTATATATGTTCTAAAAAGTATAGGTCCCAATACAGTACCCTGCGGAACATATTGTATTCTTTTATTAAGGTAATTTTTTATTAGATCTAATGCAACCCCTCTAATACCAAGGTCCTCGAGCACACCTAGCAACTTATTATGACTCACTGTGTCGAAGGCCTTTGCTAGGTCGAGAAATACATAATGGCTTCTATTTCATTTGAGTCAGTAGGGTGGAAAAATATGTTATGTTCAGTTATATTTCGTTTTATAGTAAGAGTATTAGGTTTATTTATTTTACGTGCCATTTCTTCTCCTATTGAAGAGAAATAGTCGTTAAAATAATTAGCTATATCATTTTTATTTACCTTTTTTTTATTATCATTTGTGATAATTTTCTTTATATCTATTTTTCCTTATTTTTATTGAGAAATTTATTAGCAGTTTCCCATGCTTTATTACTTTGGGAAGTAATAAATAGATCCAATGATTTTGTTTAATATGAGACGATCTTTTATGGAATGTGTAGATAAATGCATCGACAAGAATGGAGGACATATCGAACATTTAATGTGACACAATTAAAGTTATAATGTTATTTAACTTAGTTTTTTTTTTAATTTGTTTTCTAAATGTTTTCAATAATAATCATGCAGCTGATCCCTAAAATGCGATTATATCGTAAACCGTTAAGTTTTAAGGTTAATAACAAGTATACTTTTCTTCTATTAAAATAACGTGGCTTTAATATTCTTTTACAAAAATACCGCTAACTTAAACAGCAAAAAATTTAGGGCACGTAGACTATGTAGCGCCTTCTATAAATTACATCGAAGTAGGTACTAGATTATGATTTTTCGTGCCCAAAAACCTCTATTTCAAAATTTTTATGTATAGGGAAGAGTGCCCTACAGTGAGACAGGTCCCACAGTGAGATATTTACTATATCTCTCTGAAAAACTGTAAACACATTAGGTTTGGCAGCTAAGACGGGTTGGATGAACACCGATTTATTTATTGATGTAATGAAACATTTTATTAAATGTAGTGGGTCCTCACAAGCAAATCCTTCTATACTAATTTATGACAATCACGAGAGCCACATATCAATACATTGTATTGAATTGGCAAAAGAAAACGGTGTAACGCTTTTAACTTTTCCTCCCCATTCGACGCATAAGTTGCAACCATTAGATGTTGGAATTTTCGGGCCTTTTCAGAAGTTTTATAACGCTGCAGTGGATAGCTGGATACTTCACAATCCTGGACATTCATTTAGTATATATGAAGTTGCGGCATGTGTTGGACAATCACATGAAAAAGTAATGACACCGGCAACAATAACGCATGACTTTAAAAAGAC